GAAGTGAAGACCCCGAGCGCGGGACGCGGCAGCCGCAGTCGGACGGCAGAGTGGGGAGAGCGCCGACGGGCCGCTCAGCGGCTCGTGAATAGAAATCGCGCGTTCAAAATCGCTTGTGTGAAAGGAATTATAATTTTCTCGGCTTTCAGAAGACTCACAGAAATCCTTGAGTACTTAATCTGGGGTAGCTGGAAGAAATAAGTACAATCGTATACGTTATATTATCGTTTAATAAATAATATGTCCAAGGATCGTCTAAAAATTTGAAAACATTGATATTTAGTAAACTTTAAAAACATTTTTTCTATTACTTTATAATTTAATTTGTAATGTTTGTGTGAATAAATTCTACATACCTTGCATATATCATATGCTGGAGATTCGTTGGGCAAAAAGAAATTCAAACACTTAGTAAATGTACCATGAAGTAGTTTTTTTATTGACTTTTTAGTTTTTTTATTGACTATTTAGTACCATGAAGTAGTTTAAAATTTATTTGTGAATATTAAAAACATGTTATTTTAGTAATACAACAATTAACAGTACGGAATGTTCAGTGAAGAATATCGATAAATATAAAATTAACATAATTTTCGTCGTTTTGTACATAATTCGTCGATGTTGTCATCGTTATCGATAACGACGCTGTTATCAATAGTGTCCGAATTAGCTTTTGGCGTTGTGTCTTCACCATTTAGCTCGTTTATATCATCGTCTGAATCCATTATTAATAATTCATCTTCCATGTTGGAGCAATTTTCGTCTGTGCATCGCAAACATATGTTTGAACATTTCAATCCATGCTTCTTGCAGCCGCAATTGTTAGATTTACAACCACTTTCACATCTACATGCAATTCTTTTAATGATATTTTCGGGGATCATTGGGTCGCAGCTGTAAATTGGTTCCAAAGTATTTGCAACAACTTTCCAACCCCATTTTTGCGGATCTGATTCATATCCCAGCCACGTTTGCAATTGGTGATAGGTTCTGTAGACATGCTGAGTAGCAGCACCCTCAGTTGGTGGCAAATTTCCCAAATGAAAAGAAGACTTAGCTGTTGACTTTTCAAAAAGCAAGTATCTTAATTCGTTCAATTGTTCATCGTTTTTTTGGGATGAATATATACTTGAAATTATTTCGCACCCGGTTTTTGCTATGTGTTTGTGCTTTGCTTTTTTGTCATAAAATATATCAAACTTTTGCAGGTTTTCTTCGTTTTCATCTTTGAATATTTTTAAAATTTTATTTTTTCCTTTTTTATAAAAACATGACGTAGTGTCACATCCCGTTATTATATACAACAATGCGACGTAATTAATTAATCCGGGATACTTGAAACTATTACAATTATAAACTTTTTCACTTTCTTGGCCTTTTCCAGGCTTACAGAAATATATATCTTGATTTGTAGGCGCTAATTGCATCAATAATACTAACAGATCTGTGTCTTCTCCAATAATTTTTACTATACTTTGATTGTCTTTTTGTAACTGAATAGCCGTAGATATAATCAGAGTATCGGCATCTTCTTGAGCAGTGTCAGTAGTAAATCCTAATTTTTGTAATTCCCCAGCTAATAAGAAGATAAAATTTTTTTTATTTTTTTCGTTTGAAAAGAACTTTTCTTTCGGACAGGTGATATTTGTATTCAAGTCAAAATTAATTTCTCTTCCGGTCTGCTTTATTTGTCTCCGCATGCGTTCCACGGATTTGGTACTTAACGCAAGATTGTCTGGGTATCCGTCAAAAATAAAAACTGAATTTTTTGTAAAATGATTCTCTGCATAAAGTGTATAAAATCCTAATATTTGAGAAACAGTTTTATTACTCGTCCAAACAACTTTATGAATGAAAAAACCGCCATCTATGACGTTGATGCAGTTTTGAAAGATTGGCGAAGGCTGTATAGCATTGAAATTATCATAAAAAAGCGATTTTTGCGTTTTCCGCATCCCGGAATCATCGAATATTGAGAGAGGCATTGGAGCTAATTCATATTTTAAATATTGTTTCATGTCAGTCTTTGTTTTTATATTCAAAGCAATTCTCTGAAATATCAATAAGGGATTTATTTCAATTTTCTCGTCATGTACTTTTACATACGTATGCACAGATCGCAGTGTTTGTACTCGATTTTTTTTTACAGACTTCAATGAAGCAAACGATTTGCCAATTGTGTTGTGTAACAACTGAGTTCCAACTTCTGCAGCTTGATGGCAATTTATCGACTCGTTTCCAACGACACCAGAATATATCGACGAAATTGTATTTGATGCTGGAAATGGATCGTAAGTTGAAAAAAAACTTACAAGTTTGTCTAAATCTGACGCATCTCGTTTAATCCGAGATACACCTGCATCCACGTGCTGCTCAGATGTTGAATAACACACGTTACAAAAGTTTTCCATTTCGTTTGATATCTCTGTCAGAATAATGCTTGAGAGAATCCACTTACATAAAACACTGTCTGAAATACCGCGGCCATGAGTAAGTCCACCGGCACTTTTCATAGATTTCATGAGCACTTGCTCTATGGTCATATCTGACCAGATGCCTGACCAATATTTATTACTGCGACGAATAGTGAAGTAACCGCATTTCGCAAACTTATCAAATTCCATGACATTGAGTTGTTTTTCCAATTTCATAGCATCTTGCAAGTACAGTTGACTCGATTTACCATACAGGTAATGTCCTGAGGCATAAAAATATGGAATCATGTCACGAACACATGATAAATGCAACTCCCAATTACCACAGCGCTCTGCTTCAATAAAACGTTTCATAATATTGATTAAAGTGAAATATTGAATCCATAAGCAAGCAGTTGGACCAAAAGTTTGTAAATATTGTAACGTATCTTTAAATTTTTTCGACAGTAAGTCACTAGCATTATTTTTTAATATTTCGTGTTCGATGTATGGATTTTCAATCTCTTGCAGCATGCGATCTAATTGAAGTTTTTCATACGCATCAAAATTAATGTACGAAAAAATAACATTTGCAAGAGCAACTTGAACTAAAATATGGCCCCGAACAGCTCTTGAAAAAGCATGGCCGTTAAGAGCTTTTTCAGCAGAATTTTCAGCAAAAATGGTCCCAAATGCTTCTTTAAGGCCACTACAATCCATTATGAAGCCAATGGAACCCAAAAAACTCATCAGCATGTGGAAACCTCCAAGCCTCACAAAAATAAAACGCAAATTATAAGGATCATTTCGCGGATCTATCGAGGTAATTATATCTTTTGCTTTGTAATACAAGGGCTGATCGAAAGTAACCACGCAAACTTCTTGATTTTCTGCCATTGTTCTACGACTTGCTTCTATCAGTACAGTAAAAATTGTATTCATATCACTGGGAGGAGCATTAACAAATGGTAGTGGTAAGATTTTGGATGTTGCATAATCATCAGAATGTTTTATGTTTTGCATAAAACCATTCCAGCCAGGAGTTGCGTTTGGATTTTTGTTTTTACTATAAAGCCATAGAATGTCAGTAAACGTCAAGTCAATAGGACGATAATTTTCCCCATCTACATTTTCAACAATAATAGATTGCAGTCCAGCCGAATTTTTTTTTTCAAATTGCATAACATCGATGAAACCAAATTTACCAATCGTTTCAGCTGATGGAATATTCTTCAGTCGCTGAATCGTTTTAGCCGCAGAGAAAGCACTCGAAGGTGTTACACACATGATACCACCCATGGCGTGAAAAGTATTACGGCCATCAAGTGTATTTACATTATGATCAGCATTATCAAATATAAATTGTACGAATCTGTCGCCATTGATTTGAAATTGTTCAGGATCATTAATTACGGAAGTTTCAAATAGCATGGTTTCTCTGTAAGTCGCGATGAGGCCAAGATTAGACAATGAATCGATCAAGTTTCTGGATGCGTGCTTTTTGTGAATCATGGAAGATAATCCCAAAAGTATGGAAGATAAAAAAGTTCGCGGTCGAATGGAAGAAATGAGAATGTGAGCGATTGTCGCGACGCGATTATTCCATTTTGTACTTTCCTCATTCGAACGTTTATGAGTTTTAATAATTATATCTAAAAAAGTTTGTAATGTCTCGGGAACATCCGCGTCTACATTGTCGAAGAAGCTGTTAGGCGCTTTGTATGCATGCGATTCATATTTTCGAGATCGTACGTCTTGCAAAATGATATGTGCCGCTTGTTTAACTATTTCTAGACGTTCTTCTTCTTTATTTTTCTTTTTTTTAGCACAGCGCCAGCCATCCTCTAAAATTTTATCTCGAGAAGCGCGAAAACATATAATAATATCGTTATGTATATTGTATGAAAAAATATCCTCTCCAAAATGTTCTTCTAATTTGTCTTTTATTCTGGCAAGACGTGGAATTTCTCCGTCGTAATGTTCTAAAATATCTTTTAAAGATAGCTGCGAGTCTTCTGCGTTGTCCAAAATGTAGTTAATAACATAATGCACGCAATTGGTCATTTCATCATTTACTACATCGTTTGTTAATTTGACTGGCCTGTAATTATAAAACAAGCTCAGACACCGAGCGTGATAACGAGCGTCTTTATCTTGTAGTTTTTCAACGTATTGCAACCGCTTCAATAAATTATTATTAAAATCGTTCTTCGGCCGCGAAATCAATTCTTGTAAGATTTTTTTTCTTGTTTCGTCACTTGAAACGCGTTTAACATGTGCCTTCGGATCTTTCTTATTAGCACTTTTTCCGCAAAATAAACAATAAATAGAAAAATCAAAAGATGCTGCTGATTCTCTATCTTCTTGTTCTTTCTTTTCCTTATTTGCTGCAGTTTTCTCTACCATGGATATTGAACGTTCTCTGTTGTACGATACCTGGCAGCTTCTATGAATGACAAGTGAGTTACGTTCCTGCATACGGTAGTATTTTTTGTCCTTCCGCCTCTTGCTTGACACCACAAGTTTTTCGATTGCCTTTGAACCAACAGTGCAGGCTGTATCCTCCGTTGTTGGTTCATCGCATAAAACACAGTTATTGGGCAAGTTATCCATTCTTCTTGTGAGTTATCTGTAAATTAAAGACGATATTATCCAAGTGTCACTACCTGGTGTCACTACCTGAACACGTGGTTTGCACGTGATTATCAATAACTTAACTTTTTTCATACATGTACGAGCCGAGAAGTTGAAAAAATGTTTGTAACTTTTTCGGAAAGTATATCATTTCAAGAGCAATTTTGAAGCTATTTCTTAAAAATTTTACTACAACGGAGGAGAAGATATGCGGGTATTTATACCCAGCTACCTGGAAGTACGAATCACTATGCGCTCGAAAACAATTATTTCGAAAGGTTGTTTTCTTTAAAGATACAGTTACAGTCAGCAAGATATCTCGATATTTGAAACTTTGGC